TGCTGCCCTTACCCTTTGCCCAGAGCACGAGGAGCCAGAGGAGCTGAGTCTGCCACAGCATCTTGCTGCTTCTGCACCGACTGACACGGAGCTGAGAGACACCAAGCGTTAAACCGGCCCCTTTATATCTGCTCTGGCGAGCAGGGCGCTGTCCCTGGGGTGGCCTCATGCAAAACAGCAGCTCTATGTAAATGTGCCTTTGCTGGGTGCCAGATCAGAGCTTGCCGGGCAGGGGTAGACACAGCTGTGACCCATGAGTGCAAATAGGACACTTAAGCTGTGGGTGGCAACCACTATGTCCATTTACTGCTTCCTAGTTCAGTTTGGGGCATCCCTGTGAGTGATGGATGCAGAAGATAGAAGGGATTTATGTGTATCCTGTGTCCTGCTCACACCAAGCTCCAGCATGGGATGTTTGAAATGACTTTGACAACATAGAGGTGATTACAGCTAGAAACAGAGAAGGGTGTTGGACACAAGGCCTGCATCTGGAGGAACGCAGGTGTTTGGCTCCCCAGGGACAAGTAGCAGTGGTGTACCTTGTGCCACAGCTACTTGATCCTGGGGAATGCCTAGTCCAAGTGCACTTTTGCCTGTGGCAAGTTACCCTGGGTGTCATAGGGGTGGCTGGGGCCAGCACTGTGCTGGTGCAACAGCCTTACCTGGGGTCTTGGGGGCCTTCCAGTGTTGCCGTTGGGGTGATCCCACCAGGCAGAGCCTGGCTGGCAGGTACAGCATGACTCAGGGTGGCTCAGCTCTGCTTTTCACATGCACACAATGCTTGAGTATTTGATCCTCTGTTTGTTTTTTCAGAGATGTTTTTGACCCCTGGATATCTAGGGGTCAAAAAAACAATGAAAAAAAAAGGCCAAAAAGTGGAGCAGCAAACACAGGGTCAGCGCGTCTTTGCAGCATGGAAAACAGCTGACTGTGTGGCATGTGGCACTGCATATGTGTTTGTGGTACAACATACCACACGGATGTGCTGGCCCTAGGGGCACGTCCAGGCGAGCAGGCACATGCCTGTTGTGGCATCTCCAACCAGCAGGCAGAGACCCCTGTGACTAACAGCTGTCAGGGACTACTCAAGACCAATGTGGGACAGCGACCTCCGGATTGGGTAGCCAAGATGATGCTGGGTGATCAGACAGGTCTGCCAGAAAGGGGTAAAAGACAGTGAAGCGTGAGCCTCAGTGCCACCCTCTCATCCAGCGCCTGACCTAGCCTAGCAAGACAGAAGGAGAAGCAGGCGACCCACTTCTGGAGAAGACATTGCCTTGAAGGAGGCTGACTATCAACAGCAGACTCCAGGGCCTTGGATATGTAGATATACTGACACAGTGCTCTCACAATCACTACAGCAGCTACTATACACTATGCTACATGGGTTTGAATGAGTGAGTGCATGTGTGTGGGGATGGATGTGCTATGGTGACCAGTACCACCCATAACTCAAAGTTTGCATTCATGATTTTATTGGTAACTTCACATCCTGTCCAATAAACT